ACAGATCAAATTTTTAAACTCTGTCCTCTTTGGGAGGAGGATAGGGTGAGTTTGCCACACCTGGCAGTGCTAGGTGTCCTGGCACTGCGTGAGGGACCGTATGTAGTACTAGGCTCAAACTGAAGTTGGTCATATACAAAGAAAGCACCACAACTCCTGTACTACCTCTCAGCACACCCTGTACTCTTTTAAAAGCCAAACTAAAAACACTAAAAATTTGAAACGTTAAATTTGTATAAATTTGTATAATATGTGGAAGAAAATGTCTTTTTTTTTTTTTTGCTTTTTGGGTCACACTCAGAGATGACTAGGGGTTACTCCTGGTTCTGCACTCAGGAATTACTCCTGGTATTTCTTGGAGGACCATATGAAGTGCTGAAAATTGTTGATCCCGGGTTGGCCGTGTGCAAGGCAAACGCCCTACCTGCTGGACTATTGCTCTGGCTCCCCAAAACACCATTTTTTAAAATTTGGAGCACTCTTATCATAAGTAAATGATTATTCAGGTCCTCCTTTGATCTTTAAAAAAAATTTCAGTTCTTAATTGTTATTCAAAATTAAATTTTTAAGTTTATTTATATTATATCATTAGTCCTAAAGTTTATTTAGCTTTATGTTCAGTAAATCCTTTTTTTCCCCCCAAAATGACTTATTTTAGTATATCCCAGAAGATTTAGGGATCTCTAAGATAAGATATGGGGTCCAGAGTGACAGTACACTGGATAGGGAATTTGCCCTCCACATGACCAATGGGGGTTCAATTCCCAGCATCCCTGAGCAATACTAGGACTAATTCCTGAGCACAAAGCCAGGAATAACCCCTGAGTATTGCCGGAAGTGACCCCAAAAGCCAAAAAAAAATAAGATTAAGATACTATTTTTCACAGCTACTGAGACTCACATGTCAAAAATTAAAATTAGGGAGCGATACTGGAAAATTACTGGAGCGATAGCACAGCAGTAGGGCGTTTGCCTTGCACACAGCCAACATGGCCGACACGAGTTCGATTCCTCCGCCCCTCTCGGAGAGCCCGGCAAGCTACCGAGAGTATCTCGCCCGCATGGCAGAGCTTGGCAAGCTCCCCGTGACGTATTCAATATGCCAGACACAGTAACAACAAAGTCTCCAATGGAGACGTTACTGGGTCCGCTCGAGCAAATCGATGAACAACGGGAGGACAATGACAGTGACCAGTGAGATTCACATGTCAAAAATTAAAATTAGATAGCTAATGTCATCATGATCACGATCATCCTGTTATTCGTTGATTGCCTCAAGTAAGCACCAGTAACGTCTCCTTCGCCCTAGCCCTGAGATTTTAAAAAGTGCCATATTCAAGGCTCTTTCAGGGTTAGGAGAATGAGAGCCATCATTGTTACTGGTATTTGGCATATTTGGTACACCACAGGGAGTTTGCCAGACTCTGCCGTGTGGGCAGGTTACAGGTTGTCCTAAGTAAGAAAAAGATAATAAGATGCCCCAGCGAGGACAACCAGGTGCGGGGGCAGGAGACTCTGCACTGTTCTCTTCCAGGATCTGGGTTTTATAGTCTCTGGGTCTGGGTCTTGGCCATTGATGGGATTACATAGTGGCTGGGGGGTGGGGGATGGGGGGTGGGGGGTGGGCAGTTGGTGGGTGTGACCCCTGCCTACTGGAAAATGGAGGATCTGGGTAGAGGATGCTCAGCCCCCATCCGAGCAGGCTTGGAGATTTCAGCCCCAGGACCCCCATGCCTGGGTTCCTCTGCCGGTACCTTCATGCGAGTTCATGTCATAGTCCTTTGAAATTTCAGAAAATTACCAAGCAAATGTATATTTTGTTCTTATTGTTTTGTTCTTATTGGTAATTAGTCAGTAACTGGAAATGTGCAAGCTGAATCTCTCAATGACTAATCATGTTTCCGAACCCTGCATGAATAAACAGTAATTCTAAAAAGGAAAAAAAAAACCTGCTGAATCCCACATCCATGACTCATTGAGCACAGTACTCTAGTCAAGTAATGACTTGTAAAGATAATTCCTAATATTAGAGAAAAATTAAAGTGTTAACAAGAAAATTAGACAGAAAAGTAAGTCTGCATCTCTAGCTCTTAAGAGTTTTCTTAAATTTAAACCAAAAATATTTTTCTCCAGTAAATTAACAAACAAAAATATTTATTTATAATAGGAGAAAACACAAGTGAGTTAATCACTGGGTGTCAGCTAAGCACTGACAAACAGTCTAATTTAAAGACTAGGTGTCAGCAATGACCTTAAGAAATTGTCACAAAGGAAGAACACAGGATATCAGAATGAACTGCAAAAGATATGGAAATGTAATTAAATGTTCACAATGAAGATCTGTGACTCTTGGCACATTCTAGTTTCTATTTTGATTGTAAATTAATGGGTTCAGCAAACATTTTAGAACATAACCGGCACAAATTACTCACAGAAGTGAAGGGACTCTTAAGTTGTACCAAATCCAAATCTAGTTTAGAAGAACCTGCTATTCAGCAAGAGGAACAAGAAAATCATTTGTTTTAATACAAGACAGAGTGCTAAATATACTAGAGATTCAGTTTTTTTTTAAAATAAAACAAAAGCACTAGAAGGGGAAGAGATTAATATACGGCTCTTTAGAGGAGTTAGCTTTAAAATACAGCTTTTTAACACCTTTGGGATTTATAATTGTCAAGATGAGGGTATGGAAAAGAGAGAGAAGTTAAAGCTTTAAGTTCGTGTATGCAGGAAACACAACTTTTCAAAGTAGTGATACAAGCAAGAAAGTAGTTTAATGGGTGGTTCAGAACTTGAATTTTGAGAGGCCTTCAAAGTATTTTGTTGTTATTGATTTTAACAATGTTAAATTTAGTTACAGCTATGTTTTAGAAAGAGTCATTGAGAAGTCCACTTTTTAATGTGAATTTATGAGAGTGTTACATCAGAGACTGGAAACGAGGGGCCGTCAGAAAAAGCCTGTAGCTGCTCAGATGACAGAGTGAGCAGAATTCTAACTAGGTTCTCAAATTCCCATCCATTGGTTTACACAAACGGGCCTACAGTTATTCAGTCAAACATTGACTTAAGTGTTGTTGTGAAGGGATTTTGTGATTTAAGTCCCAGATCATTTGACCTTAACTTAGAGAGATCATCAAGGAGTGCCTGACCTAATCACATAAATTCCTTAAATCTGTGTCTAGAGGTCAGAGACCGGAAGTTAGAGAGACTCAAAGCATGAAAGCTGTTCAACAAGGGAATAACTTTCCATTACTGGAACTGAAGACGGAAGGAACTGTATGTGGCAAGGCATACAATGGCTCCTGGGAACCGAGAATGGCCCCTATCAAGAGCAGGCAATGAAACAGAACACTTCAGCCTCATAATGAACGGAACTGAATTCTGCCCACAACCTCAATAAGTTTGGAAATAGATTTCTTCCCCTCAACGGGCCCCATATAAGAATTCCACCTGGCTAGCATTTGGTTTCAACCTGTAATACCTGTAACACAGAATTGAGTCAGAGCACACCAGATACCCCTGATCTATAGAAACTGTAATAGAATAAATTTGTGTTATTTTTAGCCTCTAGCCTCTGTTTGCAGTAATTTGCAACCAGCAATGAAAATGCAGTAGTAGTGAAATATATCTTTTAAAATGGCTGTGCTTTATTAAACCAAGTATTCAATTCAGATTTGGAGAAGACAGTATTTTGGAATCTGTCTAGGTTAGCTTCATAAGAAACAAACACATTTCACCAAGTTTTCATTAGTAGAGATCTTCCCTAAGATTCACAGGTGCATGCCTAGCTATTTTAAAATACTTTAAAATTATTTATTAACAAGCAAAAGTTGAGTAGGAGTTGAGTATATATCATGCAATTAATTAAATGCCTAAGGAATCATAATAATGAATGGTCTTCAGAACTAAGAAAACTGAATTAATATAATATTCAAAAAGTACCATGATTTCTTTCAGTATTATTTTCCAAATTAGATCTTTTCAGTAACAAACTATTATGATACTGATAATTAACCATATTATTTTCTGCTGTCAGTTTTATTAAATTATGCAAAGAAATTTATAAACTGTACCTATAAATGTATAAATTAACTAAAAACACAAACAAAACAATTTTCAGATTTTAATTAAGAGTATTACTGTGTCTAATATAGTAAATCACAAGCTATAGATTATCTTAGTGCATTTAAATTATCCTGAAATATAATTTCAAAGACTTTTAAAATTTATTTTAGTTCTTGGTTTAATTGATACCCTAGCTATAATAGTGCTAAATACATATCATAGAACTACAACATAAATAATTCAAAAGATTATTGGTAAGTAATTAGTATTATATCCTTATAATAAATAGAACGTGACACTGAAACATATAAAATATGACATATAAAATCTATTTAAAGAAGAAAAAAAAAGATGTTTTCCCTACAAATATCTTACATTTAAATCCCAAAATAAATCTAACAATTCATAATCTTGACCACTTTGAATTAAATTGGAGATTACCGCATACTTCAAAGGGAATTTTGATTACATACAGTATCTTTTTTCAAACCTGAAACTGATGTTAACATATTAGAAATGAATTAAAGAAACTGGGATCACTTCATCAAAATTTTCTGATATGGCAGTAGAAAAATTTTTTATAATTATGATTATGACCCTGTAGTTGAAGTAATTATTTATGATCCTGTAGTCGGAGTAATTATAATTAAATAGATAAATAGATTTTTTGGTTGCTAAATAGATTTTTTTTTTAAGAAAAAAATTGAGATAAAAGTGCTCTTCAAAGAAAAAGAAATGCAGATTAAGGGGGGGGGGGAGAACATTGTTATATAAAAGGAATTATACTGTATGTTTCCAGGCAAACAGTAGGTGGCAACATTTACACGATCTTGTTTTTCAAATGCTTGTATAACATCAAAATGGAACATTCAAGATAATGATTCATGAAAATATGGGACTTTCCAAAAGTCACCTATTAGAATCTTCACGCATGAACACACTCTTTATGTGTTTCTATTTTAGAAAAGCATGCTTCTCCTTTATCAGAAAGGCTTTGCTAAAATAATCTTTAAAATGTTTTGTGAGTCATATTAGATTATTTGCCTAAATAAAAGGGTAGACATTTCTTCTTTCCATGAGTTATACAGATGTGTCAGCTGAATTAGACAAAGGGTGAGGATTCATGGAGACGTGAGTACTTGGAGAGCCCGGCAAGCTACCGAGAGCATTCCATATGCCAGACACAGTAACAACAAAGTCTCCAATGGAGACGTTACTGGGCCCGCTCGAGCAAATCGACGATCAACGGGAGGGCCTTTACCTTTACCTTTTATGCTCTAAGTGTTAAAAAAAAAAACTTCAGCCCTTGATCTGACCTCGGTAGACTGCAGCATCATGTTACAGGAGGCACATCCGGTGGTCAAGAGAAGAGAGAAGCTACATCCAGCTTCCTTTTCTCCTTTGAACACATGCAGCCCTCAGAGGTCTCCCATGTCAAGCTCAAGTCTGGAGCCGTTTGCCCTGGGCTTCTCCTACACGAACTTGCAGACCTAAGAAGCCATTTTAGGAGACAAATGGCTAATGTCACTGTGACCTCTGAGTAATTTTGTTTTTCAGAATGAAATTTGCTATTGCATGTGTTCCCGGTTGAAAATCCGTGCGACTCCAGAGGCGAGCAGAGGAGTTGCTTTGTAACAGCAGAGGTCAGTAATGGCAAAGGGGAAGGAAATGGAGCAATCAGGCCAGAACGTGCTGTCACTTTCTTTGAGTTGCACAATCAACAAGCAAAAGAGCCTGACACACAGAAAGAAGGGATAATTTACTCCTAAATGCCCACCAGTGCCTCCTGGGCAGGCCTGGTCTCCACTCCTGACTTTCTCAGAGATGTTTCTCAGAGCACTAGTTTCTACCATCCAGTATTTCTTTGGGAACCACAGCAGACTGTAAGGTGAAAATTTCCACTCTACTCTTTTACAATTATTAACTATTTTCTGACCTCATTAATCCTGGAAATTGCATTTATCTTTAAAAAGACTATTGGCAAGAAAAGAAGGAGGGACAAAAAAACGTTTTTCCAGACATCATGTTTCTTGAGTGCCCAGTCTTGCTCTAAGTACTTGGGTTGTAAAAGTAAACACCATACATCATATCCTCGTGGAACGTAGAGTCTGGTATGGGTAGGCTGAAATTAAATAAATGATATATCATATGTCAAGTGGTTTTGTTTCCTACGACTGCTCTCAGAAAGTACCATTAACTGGGTGCCTTGAGACAACAGAAATTTATCTTTCACTTCTGGAGAAACCCAAAATCTAAAAGGGGCCATGCTCCTTCTCAAAACTATACAGGAATTTTCCTAGTTTCTCGTGGTTTGCCAGTTGTCTAGCGTTTCTTGGCCAGTACAATTTCCATCATCACATGCATTGGCATTGTCCCTGAATCTCTTCTTCTATCATTTCCTTTTTACATGTCATTGCATGTGGCCAGATAGTTCTTTTAAACTGGACACTTGTCCTGCTGAACTAGAACCTACCCTTGTAACTCTTAACTTCTCTACATCTGCAAAGACTCTATTCATAGATAATGTCATAATTTGAGGTCACAGGAGTGAGGACTTAACTGCTGGGGAAGGGAAGAATGAGAAAAGTGTGATTCAATCTATATGTCAATAACAAAGAAGCAGATTAAAAAATTAAAAGTAGTGAACAGCTTTGTAGGTCTATCTCATAGTGATTCAATATAAAAAAAATTAAGTTTGAATTTCCAAGTTGGCAATAATGTCAGAATTTCTATGTGGATTGGCCAGGCCACTCCTATTTCTTGAAAAATGAAAAAATAGAAGAAGAAGAACAACAACAAAAAAGGGGGAGAGGACATTTAGATAAGGTGGTCAAGAGGAAGAAGACAAGGGATCTTTTCAGTTAACTTATTCCTGTCTCAAGTACATAAGATGAATAATTTTCTCTGTCACTTTGAAAGAATCTCGGATGCCTACACTTTGAGTATTCAGACAGGATAACTGAAGATCCTGTTGACTCACCACCTGACTGAGGATTGCTAACGGAAGAAGTCTTTGCTCTTATGAAGCCCGTGGCCTTCCTGTTACAAGTGGAAGTCAACTTCTGGAAATCCCTTTCCTTGTCTGTGTTTTATTGATAGTTCTCTAGACCCACAGCACTACTACACTGAGTCTTTCACTATAAAAGGCAAGACTGCAAAAGGGCACAAAATGCTAAAAAGTTTGTCTACCTTTCTTGTATCCCAGGACCCACAAAGTGAACTCATCCTTCAAGAAAAAGAATGAGAGAGAAGGAAAGAAAGGGATCAGAGATAAAGCGGGTAACTCACTCAGGTTCAATCCCTAGCTCCACATATTATCCCCTGTGACCCATAAGATGATATCCCTGGGTGCAGACTAATCCTTAAGCATAGCCAGTGTTGATGCCAAGAGTGAGGAAGGAAAGAAGGAAGGAAGGAAGGAAGGAAGGAAGGAAGGAAGGAAGGAAGGAAGGAAGGAAGACGGATGGGTGGGCTACCTTTGGTAGCAATGTAGCACTGTCCTCCCATTGTTCATCGATTTGCTGGAGTGGGCACCAGTAATGTCTCCATTGTGAGACTTGTTGTTACTGTTTTTGGCATCTCGAATATGCCACAGGGAGCTTGTCAGGGTCTGCTGTGCAGGCGGGATTCTCTCGGTAGCTTGCCAGGCTCTCTGAGACGAATGGACTACATTTGGTATGTTGATTGTCGATTTGCTTGAGCGGGCCCAGTAACATCTCCATTGGAGACTTTGTTGTTACTGTGTCTGGCATATTGAATACTCTCGATAGCTTGCCGGGCTCTCCGAGAGGGGCGGAGGAATCGAACTTGGGTCGGCCATGTTGGCCGCTTGTAAGGCGAACGCCCTACCCGCTGTGCTATCGCTCCAGCCCATGTTATATATACTAAATGTCCATAGTCTAGCTTAACCTACCTTAAATAGTCCAAACACTCTTATTCACCTTATATTAGTTAGCAAAATTATCCAATACAAAGTTTGTTTTATAAAAGTGTTGAATATCTCACATAATTTATAGAATTCTTGAAAATATACTAGGTCTGAAAAATGAAGTGCTGAATTGAAATTAATTGTTGCATTGATGTGAGTACTATGATAACAGCATATTAATTAATGACACTGTAGAATATCAGACAGTAAGCCTCATCTTCTGGTAGGATAACATTGGTTTGTCCTTTCTGCTTTGCCACAGGGAGCCACAGGGAGCTTAGGATTATTGGGTTACTCCCATCAAAGTGCTCCCATTCCTCTGTGTTTATTTGTAATCTCTTTATTTGTGCTCTGCTTCCCCAACTGGTCAATCACTTTTATCTCCTAATCAGACTCTGTTAATTTGTTAATACTGTTTTTTTTTTTTAAAGTCTTCTTCTTAAGTCTTTTGCATAGTTAGTTCAGAGCCATATCTTTTTTGTATAGATACAGGAAGACAGTTAATACTATGCTTTTGTAAATTTGAAGTTAATTGACTCAGAATAATATTCACTCCTGGGCATCTGTTCTCTCCACTGAAGCCTCAGTTGCCCTTACTACCTAGCACCCCAAAAGCAGGCTCTCAACAAGGGACTGGATGGACCCAGGGCAACCTGTGAGCTACCCTGGCATCAAAATGAGCCAGGTCAAAGTGCCATAATACTTAACTATAAGTTAAGAACATGGACAAATGCTATCATGATGCAAAAACTAACAACTAGATTAGGACCCTGCTGAAGAGGAATAGGACCAATTTCTACTATGCAAATAGTGGAAAGCTAGTCGTTTTACTTTTTGACATTTATATCCACTATCACTTATAATAGCAAATATTCAAGACTTTAAGTTCATTTTAAAGATATTTAAACTACTAACATACTGTATAGAATTCTGCTTAAGAATGAAGTCACTTTGGAAACTTGAATGAAGCTACCACATGTACACTAAGGTAGGTTCCAGAAAATAAGAATCAGTTAGATGTACCAACCAGGCCCAAGCAGAAAAATCAGGCCAATCTGGATTAATCTTCAATTTTGCCCCTCAGACAGTGTAAATACTTAGTTTAACTTCCTTAACAACAAAGGACAATCAAATCTATGCCAGAAGTCTACTAAGTTGTGAGTAGGTCATGTAAAGTAGGTCAAATGGGCCTTAATGTTTATAGTTGAATGCGCTGCTGTCAGTGTCTTGAAATTCAATTTTTAAATTTAAGTTTTGTCTGGGAGGTGTATGGGAGTAGGTGCTAGAGTTTCAGAGCCTCCACTCACATGGGGGCCTGCCCTCATGCCTTTCCAGGATGAGTTCTCAGATGCCGCAATCCTCTCTCCTTGTTTCCCAGCAACCACTGTTCCTTTCTCCCTAAAGTGGGACTTGGCAGTATGACAATGATGCTTGGAAAGGATCACTCTGGATAAGATCTAAGTGCTGAAAGGAGGTAAAGGGATATACATGAAATTATATATCTTCCAGTACTTGTATTAAAAACTATAATGTGGGCTGGAGCAATAGCACAGCAGGTAGGGCATTGCCTTGCACGCAACAGACCCATGTTCAATTCCCAGCATCCCATAAGGTCCCCTGAGCACTGCCAGGAGTAATTCCTGAGTGCAGAGTCTGGAGTAACCTCTGTGCATCGCCGGGTGTGACCCAAAAGCAAAAAATAAAATTAAATTAAATTTAAAAATAAATAAAAGCTATAATGCCGTTAAGGAGAGAGAGAGAGAGAGAGAGAGAGAGAGAGAGAGAGAGAGAGAGAGAGAGAAAGGTGGCGAGAGGGAAACTTGAAACATGGGTAGTGGGAAATGTACACTGGTGAAGAGATGGGTGTTGGAACAGTGTATAACTGAAAACCAATCATGAACAATGTTGTAACTGTGTATATCACAATGATTCAATTTTTAAAAAATTATATTAATAAATTAAGTGGAACTTGGGCAAGGGTGAGGCTCAGATATAAATTTCCTGCTTGCCAAATACCAGAGCCTGGCAAGCTACCCGTGACGTACTCGATATGCCAAACACAGTAACAACAAGTCTCATGATGGAGACATTACTGGGCCCACTCGAGCAAATCGATGAACAACGGGAGGACTGTGATACCGGACCGTGATACCAAATACCAGGCAGGACCCTGGGCCCTGTGACGATCTATACTTGCCTTGCAAGTAACTCCAAACCAGGGGAAGACTGTTTCTAAACAAATATATAATAACATGAGTGATAGAGAAAAAAACCTTGGAGGAAATGGTAAAAGGGGTTGTTTGTTTGTCTTTGCATTTTGAACAGACTATTTTTCCCTTTGCACAAGGCCTACAAATTAGATAGTTGTCCAGGCTTAGGAGACAAGGTTTTTATTACTCATAATCATTATGTATGTATGAAAGAAAGCATGAGACAAATAAATTGGTCCATTTCTAGAATGGGTCTCTGTCACAGCTATTAAAGTCACAGAGACTTCTCAGAGGCAAACGAAAATTCTTCTCTACTAAAATACTACCAAAAAAGTTGCTTCCTAAATCAATGAAAATGACATTTCACTCTAGGGAGACATATCCAGACAATTTTAAGTTTCTACTCTGGAAATGATTTGAGACTCTGAGCTACCTTCTTTTTAGAAATGGGGTATAAATTAAGAATACAACGTAATCTCTTTTAGAAACGGTTGGTGTTGATTTTTCTGCTGTACCTCTGAGAACTCAAAAGAACTAAACAGAAAAGGAAGTAATAATTCTCTATTCACTGCAGTTCCCAAAGCAGTCACTAAGTTTTTCTGTTCTTTTTTCACATTCACCTGTAAATGAGAATCAGCATTCAAAGCAATACTTGTTTTATTAGTATAAAAATTATTAGCCAAGGGGGCCAGAGTACAGTGACAGTACAGTCATTAGTGCATTTTATTTGCATGTAGCTGGCCCAGATTTTATCCCCAGCACCCTAATTGTCCCCTGAGCCCTGCCAGGAGTGATACCTCAGTGAGGAGCCAGGAGAAAGGCCTGAGAATACTCACCTGGGTATACTCACCTCCCATTTCCCCCAGTCCCCCCAAAAAAATTTCCCTCCAAACAAAAAAGTTATTGGCCAAAGGTGGTATGATTTATGGTCCTTTTAAGTTTCTATAGTTAAACAATGTAAGTCTCACGTTTTCATGATGGTGATGGTTGGAAGAATTTAGACCTAGAGTAGTTGTGCAAAAGAAAAACCTTCTAGTTAATGTTTGTGTGGTACCAAACACATTTTCCCTTAATCTTCCCTACAGAGTAAATAAGAGTATTCTGTCCTTTCACTTATCATGATCAATTCTTTAAATTCAATATATGCTGATAGTCAATGATGTCCACAGAATCGTCTTTAATTATCTTCCTGAGGTTGTTCATTTCAGGAATCACATTCAAGAAGGTAAATAAGAACCAGAGTGATAGTACAGGGTTTAAAGCACTTGCCTTGCATGTGGCCAACCTTGGTTAGAATCCCCAGTACCACTTATGGTCTCCTGAGCACTTGGTTGCAGGAGAGATCCATGAGCATAGAGCCAGAGTCAACCCTAACCACCCCAGCCCACCCTCAAAAATAATTAAAAATAGAAAGGGAAGGAAGAAGGTGAATAAGGAGTAGGTGATTTTACAAGTAGATATCTCTAGGCATACTCTGTTACATTTATTGTGCAAAGTAGATGACGTGAATAAAATAATAAAACAATACTTTTGGCTTTCACATCAAGGGGAATCTCAGGAGGACAGTGCTCTGTCCAGGTATGGTAAGGTGTTGATTATTTGGTAAAATCAGAAACGTTCTATTCTCAGAAATTTAAAAGCTCTTTTTGGGGTTAGGCTTCATTTCTTTGGTCATGCTCATTAAAGGCTGTCCCCCAAGGTACACAAATATCCTGAGAAAGGATGTTTAGGGTCTAGGATATGTTCCACAGGAGAACACATGCTTGCAAGTGTGAAACAAAGCAGGAAGAATGCTAAGAGGGGTTGAGGTATTGTCTTTCCCAGTTTAACTCAGTTTAAGAGTTCATCAGAATTTTTTTTTAAGATAATAACATCAATTTTGTCTTAAGTGTTAGGGAGGGGTAATAAAATGAACATAAGGAAGTGGTAAGATACCACCAAGATTTCTAAAGCCAGATTGAGTCTAGCAAAAAAAAAATTGACTTTGATTCATGATTTTAACTAGGGTTTCTCATGCTGATGGTAGATCGAAACTTATTTTCATTTGAGTTGTAAATTGTGAGTATAACAAAGTAAGAACTACATAAGCAAAGTTCATCTTGTGATTTCAAAGCTTATACTGCATGAAACCTAAGACACCATGAGTTTTAAAACATACAATTATGTACTAATAAAACGGGGGGAGGGGGAGTCTGCTTATTAAATAATGACAGGAGGCTTTCTTTTTTTTTTAAGGAGGCTTTCTTAACAGTAAGAATATTTATGACTATTAAAAGAACTGCTTGAGACTTAATTATACACAATATTATACATAACTTTTATTATACATAACTTTTACATATCTTACCTCAGTGCACAATCCAAGAAGAAAATATTTTTTAAATGGTTATATTTATTTTCTTTCTTTCTTTCTTTCTTTCTTTCTTTCTTTCTTTCTTTCTTCTTTCTTTCTTATGGTTATATTTATTTTCTTACAAATCCTGTTGCTCTTCTTTTGGGGCCACACCTGGTGATCAGAGCTTTTACCTGGCTGTGTACTCAGGTAACACTTCTGGCAGGCTCGTGGACCATTTGAAGTGTCGGGGATAGATTCAGGATGAGCAGCATGCAAGGCAAGAGCCTTATAAACTGTACTATCTCTTTTGCCTGTTTTCCTACAAATTTTATACAGTCAAAGTCCTCATTTACTTCAAAATTCAGGTTTACCATAGCTCATATGGTTATTTTGGGTTTTTTTCCACACAGTATCATCCTCTTTCATCAGCTGCTCTGGTGATGTAGCATTTCATGAAAACAATTCACCAAAGAACCAGAAGCCATTGGCACAAGTCTCTACTGACTTGAGATTATAATGAGCTGGCATGCCTTTAACTCCCATTTCAGATGTG